GGGATCTAAAATCATTAGCAGAAAAGGGACTGGGCCAAAACATCCCTAGTTGACTACAAGTTAAGGAACGTTACTAACATCTAGACCACCAATCTCTGACGGGGTACGTTGTCCAAGAAAAAACGGGAACCAAAGAACAATTTTACATTGTATAAGAATTGCCGTTTTGAGGGGCTGAGGTTGTGGCTCGGTGCAGAGCACTCGCCTAGCACATGTGAGGCCCTGGGTTCGATCCTCAGCACCTCATAAAAATAAATAAATAAAATAAAGGTATTGTGTCCAACTACAACTCAAAAATAAATATTAAAAAAGAATTGCCATTTTAACTTTAAATCCTAAACCAAGGAGTGGGATAGCGTCAAATGGTGGTTCCGTTCCCAGTTTTCTGAGGAATCTCCATGCTTAGTGGTTGCACCAATCTGCAGTCCCACCAGCAGTGTATGAGTGTATCCTTTTCCCCGCATCCTCACCAACACTGACTGCTGCCTGTGTTCTTGATGACTGCCATTCTGACAGGGGTGAGGTGAAATCTTAGAGGAGTTTTGATTTGCAGTTCTCTAATTGCTAGAGATGTTGAGCACTTTTTCCTATATTTGTTGATCAATTGTATTTCTTCTGTGAAGTATCTGTTCAGTTCCTTAGCCCATTTATTGATTGAGTTATTTGTTTTTTTGGTGTTAAGTTTTTTGAGATTATTTTAAACCATGACACAAAGAAAAGACCACAGACTCCAATTTTTTTTTATGACTTTATTTTATTTTTTTATATGTGGTGCCGAGGATCGATCCCAGGGCCTTGCAGGTGCGAGGCGAGCGCTTTACTGCTGAGCCATAACCCCAGTTCCTCCAATTTTAAATCAAATTAAAGCAAGCTTGTATTTGTGTACACTGGAATTGGCCAGGACTATCTCTCCCGAAGACCCTGGGCTAGAGGACAGTACCCCAGCTCTCTAGGAGCATAGTTTTATAGCACAGAAAGTTGTGAAGGGCCGTGTCTTGAGAACTTACAGATAACAGGATTTTGACAAGCGTAATACAAAGGCAGGCAAATGATCTACATGGCTTAACATTTCAAGGTAGTGAATAAATTTAGATCCCAACATCAGAATTTATGAGATGCCACTGAGGTTTCAGAGAGGGTTGTTATCTGGTCAGGGGGAGCCAGGCAGGGGTGAGTTCAAGGTATGGGCGGGCAGGAATTCCAGACAAGTTTAGAAATTGAGTAATTTATAATAAAACAGAAATTAACATTTCATGACTTTGTGATGAGATGGCTCCCAATCTTTTTTCTTTTTTTTTTAAAGAGAGAGAGAGAGAGAGAGAGAGAGAGAGAATTTTAATATTTATTTTTTAGTTTTCGGCGGACACAACATCTTTGTTGGTATATGGTGCTGAGGATCGAACTCGGGCCGCACGCATGCCAGGCGAGCGCACTACCGCTTGAGCCAAAAGATTTTCTCCCAATCTGTAGGTTCTCTCCTCCAGTTATTAATTGTTTCATTTTCTGAGAAGAGACTTTTTAATTGGAATCCATCCCATTTATTGATTCTTTTTTTTTTTAAAAGAGAGAGAGAGAAAGAGAGAATTTTAATATTTATTTTTTAGTTTTCGGCGGACAAAACATCTTTGTTTGTATGTGGTGCTGAGGATGGAACCCAGGCCGCACGCATGCCAGGCGAGCGCACTACCACTTGAGCCACATCCCCAGCCCAAAGTTTGGCTCTTTTTTTTCTTTTTTTGCCGTGCTAGGGATTGAACCCATAGCCTTGTGCATGGGAGGCAAGCACTCTACCAACTGAGCTATATCCCCAGCCCCCATTTATTGATTCTTGATTTTACTCCTTGCACTTTAGGAGTCTTGTTAAGGAAGTCAGGTCCTAGGCTGACGTGGTGAGGATTTGGGCCTATTCGTTCTTCGATTAGGTGCAGGGTTTGTGTTCTAGTCTTTGATCCACACTGAGTTGACTCCATAGAACTGGAAAAAAACCAAAAACATATATATATATTTAAGCTGGGCACAGTGACGCACTCCTATAATCCCAGTGGCTCAGGAGCCCGAGCAGGAGGATAGGGAGTTCAAAGCCAGCCTCAGTAAAAGCGAAGCACTAATCAGCTCAGTGAGACCCTGTCTCTAAATAAAATACCCAATGTGGCTCAGTGGTCGAGTGCCCTAAGTTCAATCCCTGGTATCCCTGCCCAATATGTGTGTGTGTGTGTGTGTGTGTGTGTGTGTGTGTGTGTGTATGAAGTTACACGAGTTGAATCTTTAAAGAAAAGAAGAGGCAATTCAGGAGAGAAATCAAATGCGAAACCCCACCTGCCATCACCACAGGGCTTCTCCAACCGGGGCCTCTTCACGGCCATCTTTCTTTTCTTGGCTACTGGGGCCTGGACCCAGGGGTGCTTAACCTCGGAGCCGCACCCCCAGCCCTTTTTTATTTTTCACTTAGAGGCAGGGTCTCACTAAGTTGCTGAGGCGGGCTTTGAACTTGTGATCCTCCTGCCTCAGTCAGGGCAGTGGAATTACAGGTGTGGCCACTGTGCACAGCACATGATCCCTGTCATTGTGACCCCCATCACCTCCACCTCCCTCACCTCCACCTGCACCTCCGCTTCCAACAGGAGCTGAGGTCAACCTGCTTGCTGTGGCCACACGGGGGTCTAGACAGAGCCAAGTGATCCTGGGCGACACAGGCCTTACCTGGAAGCTGACCCACCTTTACCCTGCTATGGGGGACCCGTGGCCCCTCTTAGAGACTGTCTTTAAGACAGACATCAAGACACAGCTTTGTAACTGGGAGCCCTGGCCCGGCTGAGGCGGGTTTAGATGGTGGTGGTCAGGGCAGGAGGGTGTGGGTGAGGGAGGGTGCCTGCCACCAACCACCACCAAGATCTTGCAGAGAAGAGATCTTGAGTCTCCTGGCTCAGGCTCGCTGGGCAAACCGAGCCCACCTGCCCTGGACACAACTGGGCCTCTCTAGCCCAGACCAGGCTGGCGGGCAGCAGGGGGCGGGCCACGGAGGAGGAACGCAGACTCCGCCTGCACCTGGCAGCCACCCCCTGCTGCAGAGGGTCTGGAGGAGGGGCCGATCAGGTGGGGAGTGGGACCCCAGCAGAGGCTCCTGGGGCCGAGGCGCTGGATGGGCCTCAGGGAAGGTGGCCAGGGTCAGTGGAGGGAAGGGGGCGGAGCGGACCCCTGAGGAGCAGCTGTGGGCCCATCCTGGCGGGTCCAGCGACCCCTCTGTTCCAGAGCAGCCCTCAGGGTCTTGAGGCACAAGGTGCGCGGAGCCGCTGCCCTGGGAAGCCGCGTGCGTGCGGGGGAGTCAGCTCTTCTGCCGGGGAGCGGGGAGGTTCCCGCAGCCGGGCTCCAAACAGCCCTCACTGGAGGCGGTTTGCAGAAGCCTGTCACCGGGGAGCACCCCCTGCAAAGCCTGAGGGAGCACCCTGAACTCCTCCCCACCCGAGGAGCGCCAGCCTCCGAGCGGCCCCAGGCTGGGTAAGGGGCCTCTCCTTGCCCCTCCGTCTCAGCGCCCCTGGAGGTGCCAGGAGGAGGGGTGCCGAGGACGAGCTGCTGCGAAGAGCAGGTCCTTGACGGAGACCAAGCTCTGCGCCCCCTCCCTGGGCCCCCTCCCCGCGGTCCCCAGCTCTCCGCTGGGGGAGAGGACGGGCATTTGCAGGAGGAACTGGGGCTCCTGGTTCTTCCCTAAAGTGGAAGCGGGACTTGGGACCTGCGGGAGTTGGAGGAGGAGGAACCACCCCCCCTGAAGGCAGAGGGCTGTGGTTCCCACTGGGCAGGGTCCTGGGTCCTGATCCTGAGACTCCCACGACCTGGGGAGGGGGTGCAAACATCCGTGGCAATACAGGTCGCACGGGGAGAAGGAAGGGTTGATGCCAACCTGGGCGCGGGGCACATGCCTGTATTCCAGGGGCCTGAAGCAGGAGGATTGCTAGTTGGAGGCCAGCCTCAGCAACTCAGTGAGGACCTTTCTCAATATTAAAAGGTGTGTGTCTGGGGGAGGGGGTGCTGTACGGGATTTAGCTCCCTGTCAATTGTCCCTGGGTTAAATTGCCACTACCAAGAAAATAATTTGAGACCCGTGGAATGGCAGTCTGGGTGTTGGTGTTTTGGAGGGTCGATAGCCAGGGTTGTGTGGGCAAGTCCTTTACCACTGAGCTACAGCCCCAGCCTTTTGATTTTGTATTTTGAGTCAGACACTCACTGGGTTGCCCCCTGACCTCAGTGCTCCTGCCGCAGTCTCCTGAGTCGTGGGATCACAGATGCACCATCATGCCTGACTTGGCTGGTCGGCTTGAAGTAATCTTTACAGTTGAAACCTTCTCGAATGTCCTGACTTGATGCTCAATCCCCTGGAATCATGGGTAGTGGACAACGCTTGCTTTGGGTGACCCCAGGAGCAGGGAAGGACCCCTGGGGGCCGCTGTGAGGAAGGGCAGGTGCTGACAGGAGGCACCAGGGAGCCCACTCTGGGTGGAGCCTGGGGGCTGTCCCATGAGCCCCTGGTGTGGGGCTCCGGGGGGCTCCTGTGAGCTGCCTGTGGCAGAGAGGTGGGACTGGAGGCAGCTGCAGGAGATGAGTACCTTCAGGAAGGAAGGGGTGTTTAGGGAAGAGGTTTAGGACAGCTGAGAGTTTGCCAAATGTGGTCAAGTGTGCATGACAACCAATGCAGGGCTTCAGCCATTTGTAAGACCAGCCATGGCTTCAACGGGCTGCTGTGCTGTGTGGGCCTGGCCACCACCACTGGGCTCCAGAACTGGCTTGACAGCTCCAACCAAAACTCCCTTCCCATCAAACTTCAGCTCCTTCCCTGCACCCGCCCTCTGCCCTCCCTTCTGGCTCTGTTCCTGGTCCGCTGCCAGGGACACACTCTGCACAGGTCCTTCAGCTCTGGCTCACCTCACCAGCAGGGCAGTTACGGCTCACCCTGTCGTGGGGAGTCAGGATTTCCTCCCCCATCAGGGCTGCTTAACGCTCCCTTGTAGGGAGGGACTATGTGTGCCACCCACCGCCCACTGAGGGGCCCCCGAGGTTGCTTCCAGGCCCTGGTGGTGTGCGCAGTGCTGCTGTGGATGTCCGTGTGCAGATGGGACAGCTGGTGCGGGATGAAAACATCTTTTTTGGTAAGCTTTATCCCCTGGTGGCATGTTTTGATTACTTGATTTTTTTTTTTTTTTGCCATCTATCATAGATTTTTGCTCTTTGGTTATGATAAGGCTTAGAAAAGACATTTTTTTTATTATCCCAAGTTTGAAGTGATAGCATAAAGATAGGAAAGGAGAAAATTACTAACAATGAAATCTGTGCTTGTGTGTCATTCCTCTCCACAGAGCTGTCTTATTTTCCATCGGTCTCACGTGCCACCTCTTGACATATTAACGTGGTGGCGTCATCTGTGGTGGCTGGTCCTAAAGACATGGCTCCGTGGCGGAGGCGACGTGTTTGCGGTGTGGGGTGCTCTGAATTGTGTGCATCCCCTCTGCTCCCTGGATGTGGCTTACTCTCCAGTTCTTTCCTTCCACCCCTCTCTCCAGTTTCACTGTCCTTAGCATTTAGGACAGGTCTGGTGGCAATGCACATCCTCATTCAAAAGCTGAACGAGTCGACCTGGCTGTGGTTTCTACGTGGCAGCTTTGTGAGTACAGTATTCCCGGCTTGCAGTTCCCTGAACACCTGGTCCCACTGCCTCCAGCCTAGAGGCTTCTGCAGGGAAGTCGGCCCAGAAAATGGGAAGAGCCTGTGCGTGGCTTATTTTCTTTGAGGTTTGCCACCTGTCTACCCACGGACAACGGGAGTGTCTTGTAGGGTAGACTTGGTGGCATCGAGTCTGATCTTTGACCTCCCTGTACCTGCATATCCTTTCTAGTTTGGGAACTTAGCGAGACTGTGAGCAACCTAGTGAGGCCCTGCCTGAAAATTAGCCATTTTTTCTGAAGGGCCAGGGATGCGGCTAGTGGGTCAATACCCCTGGGTGCAATCCCTGGTGCCAAAAACAACTAAAAAAAAAAAAAAATACCCAGCGTCAGTGGCCATCCTGTCCATCCTGTCACTAGGAGTTCTGGGACAGTGTTGATGACCCCGCCGTCCCCCAAACTGCCCCGGCACAGGTGAGGCTCAACATGCCCGTCTGAGGCTGAGGCTCCTGGACATGCAGGGCAGAGCACTTGGGTTCCCGGCAGTTGCCACCAGTCTGTCCCACGGCATCCGGTCAGCCGAGGGCTGCTGTGTGCGTAGCCTGGCTTTGAACTCGCGGTCCTCCTGCCTCAGCCTCCCAGGCTGGTGGGATCACAGGCCTGGGCCACAGTGTCCAGCTGGTCCAGGACTTTCGATGCACACGAACACCACTGACAACGTGGTACCCAAGGCCACAGTGATGTGCTGTGCTTCACGTGTCCAGCTGCTCTGTCCTGCCTGACTGTCCCCATGTCCCTATGCAGGCAGGAAGAGGGCCCACCACTGCTGCAAGAGCAAACAAGGGCCATCTGCTCGGGACGCTGGGGACACCACCCTGCTTAAGCCCTGGCATCATTAGACACGGCCCTGCTCAGAGCAGAGGGACCCTACAGGGCCCGGGGCCCTCAGTGCAGGTGGGCTGCCTCCAGCACGCACCCTGCCCTCAGCACAGGAGGCTCAGTGCGGCTGGCACCCACCCAGGGGCAGAGGACCAGGGCAGAGACACCTGGTGGGGACTGAGGGACACCTGCCAAGGGCAGCCCTCCATGCTGTCCCCTCAGTGAACCCCGAGGGCGGCCCAGGCTTAGAAATCACCACAGTGGAGGCCACCTCACCCAATGACCAGCACCACCTCACCATCGCCCACCATGGGAGACTGATGTCAGAGACCACCGAGGGTCAGGCCCTGGGTGGCGCACAGCAGGCCAGCGGGAGCAGCGATAGGTGCCTTCCTAGGGGGACGCAGCAAAGGCTGACGGGGTGCAATGGAGGACAAATATATCAGTTAAGAAGGTCACATCATAACTGCAGCCCAAATTCCCGAGTTTCCCCTCCCTCAGTCCATGGGAGGACCACCAGGAAGCCTGGGCGCTGGAAAACAACATGCTCTCAACTGCTGGGTGGAGCGGCTGGGCCAGGAAGGGGGCAGCCTGGAGGCTGGACTGCAGCTCCCTGAACACTCCCACGTCCACGCGGGGAGCTGGGCCCCTGCCCACTGAGGCCATGCCCCAGCTGCAGGGCTGGGGAGACCACACCTAACCCAGCAGAGGGCATCAGGGCCCAGGTCATCCTCAGGGAGAGGAGGGCTTCCAGGGAGGGAAGCACCCAGAGGGGGCACTTCCTCTTCCCTAAGGCCTATCTCAGCTGTCCTCCGCCCAATTCCCTGACCCACCCTGCCCTGAAGGACAGGGACCAGCAGAGGAGACCTGGCCTGGGGGCCCAGCAGCATTGCAGCCCTCGCCCCAGGGATGCCCTTACCCTCCTGCAGCTTAAGCCCCAGCAAGATCTGGCCTTTCCACCGCCCTGGCTCAGGGTCACCCGGCATTAGCAGGTCAGTGCCCTGCCCTGCCCTCACCTTAGGCCTCAAGCCAGGGAAGGGACTCCCCAAGTATCCTAAGGACGTGTACCTTTCCCACAGGGACCCGCCATCCTGCACCCCAGCAGCCCCCTGACAGCTGTGTTTGCTCGAAGCCCACCAACAGGGTAAAAGGCAGAGGTCTTCTCCCTTCTACAGAGTAAGAAATGGGACCTGTGACTCTCTAACCAGCATTTCAAGGTCCCCAGGTCTTGGAAGGTAGATTTCTCCAGTCCATTTCAGTTTTTCCTCAGCATTGACGAGCTCCGCATGAATCAGACAGAGAAATAGAGTTCCCAGCTTGTCCCGTGGCCTTTGCTTTGCCTAAAGTATTTTTTAGAAATACAGATGGCTTAGAAAACCTTTATGATTTTCCTTTCCTCTGTTGCTTTTGAAGTTTGATCTTGGGTAGGGACGTCCTCTCCAGGGCCTGGTTGTAGAGTCACTAAGGCGTTTCCTCCTGGGGCTTCTGGGGTTCCAACCCCTTTCTGCATTTGCGCCTCTGACCACCTGGAGATGGTCCTGTGGGTGCCATGGGAAACAGACCTGGGCCACGACACTTATTGACAGTCCCTCCACCAGCCAGAGACGCCCTGTTGTCAGACGGGCATGGGACTGATCCTGCGCCTGGCTCCTGGGCCGCCTGTCTGCCTGTCTGTGCCTCTGTCAGGCCTCTGCCCTCAGGAGGAGGCTTTAGGCCCCAGTGTCTGCAGGGTCTCCTCCTCCTTCCTCTCCCTTCCAGCATGTTCCTGGAGATGCCTGTGGAGTGGTCAAGTGGCATTCTGGGGCGCGAGTCTTAGCTCCAGGATCCTGATGGACAGAAGCCGCCCTCCTTGGTGGGAGCCTTCCACGGGGGAGGGGGCTCTCTTTCCTTTGGGTCAATTCTCCTAGGTCTTGCAGGAAGGAACTTCCTGCTTTTCTCACCTGAGGATTCCTTATGATTGAGTTAAAAGGAGGCCCTTCCTTTCCTTCCCTCCTCCTTCCTGGGCTAAGGCGCCTTTTCCGTAGTTGCTTCTCATCCATCTGCATTTGGACCTCTGTGCATTGTCAGGGCTCTCTGGCCGGCCGCGGTGTGTGCCCACTTTCTTATTGTCAGGGTGGTTTTCTAGGGAGACCTGTGGGTTTCCTTCTCTGCAGTCAGATCATCTGTGACGGGTTTGCCTGTCCCTTTCCGGTCCTCACACCTTTCTCTGGTGGCTCTCTGACTGCCAACTGAAAGCCATTCCTTAAAGGTGAAGTCCTGGTGCCTGTGGCTGATGCACTCTCTGTGGCCTGCACTGTGTCTGAGCAGGTGCGGCTGGAGCTGCCTTGGCTGGTTCCTGAAGTCTCCTGTCTGGGATGGGCGCTTCCCTGGGGTTCTCCTGCAGAAGCGCTCACTCTAAGTGGCCTCCACGATTTCAGGCCTGCGTTCTGCCCAGCCTCCTGCGTGGGCTGTGAGAGCTCCCTGGCAGTTGGAGAGGTGGTCAGGGCTCCCTGGGCACCCTCTGCCTGCCTGGTCCCGCCAGACTCTGCCCCAGGATGGGGAGTTTGCTGCGCGCCCTCCTGGTCTCTGCAGGAGCTACAGCCTCCTGGGCCACGACTGCCCACAGTCTAGCCTTCCAGGGCTCTTGCACTGAGGTGCTGGGGACCCCAGAGGACCTCCATCTTGCTGGGCTCCATGGGAGACTGTCCTCAAGTCCAGACACCCTTTCCTGGTCCCTGCCTCTGTGTCACCTCAAGCACCCTGTGTGACGTGCTCTGCACCAAGGAGAGTCAATCCTGGCTGTCCAGCTGTGTGCACTGTGGACGTGAGAGCCCGCCTACCTGCCCACAGGTAACCAGAAGCCAGGGGAGGGGGGTGTGGCAGCTGCTGGGCTGCACAGGTGGGAGCAGAGTGTCCTGGGACAGGGGACAGCCACCTTCTTCCCTGTCACCCTGGCAGACAGTTTCTAGGGCCCATTAGTGCCTCACTCTCTGCCCAGACTGATGTCAGGCGCTTGGCCCTGCATGTGCCTCTGCAAATGTCAGCTGTGGGCCTTCCATTGATGCCTCCCTCCACACTGAGCTGATTGGTGTCCTGGGTGGGAGCTGAGGGTCTCACCTCCTTCCTGTCCCCAGCAGCCTTTCTGGCAGAGGCCGCCCCTGCCCCACTCTGCTCTTGACCTGTTGGAAACTGGTTGTGCAGGTGCCTGCACCTCGGGGGCCTCTTCTGTTCCCTGGTCCTCAGGTCTGTTCCCTGCAGCACCAGCACTTGGCCAACCAGTGCTCTGAAGCCAGCCTCTGCCGGCTCTCTGGGCTTCCTTCTTTCTGCTCAGGTTGGCTTTGCGTGTTCTCTTAGGGTGACATGTGAATTGGGGATTGTTTTCTTCCTATCAAGGAGGACACTGGAACTTGCAGCATGGCTTTCTTTGGGATGAATGAATTATGTTCTGTTATTCCAATTTTATTCCCTTTTAG